TTTTTGTTTTTGTTCCATACCAGGTAATATTGGTCTGGTTTCATGAACATCTACTTTTTACCTTTAGTTAAGTAGAGATTGGCAATTCCAGCGCTGAAATTATCCAAATGATTCTAGTAAAGGTGTGCAGAGTTTATCAGTACAGTGGAGCACTTCCTGTATTACAGCAAAACATCACAAGGTGGAGCAGAATGTTTTAAGTTTGAGAGAAGAACTCAGCCTAAATACGTAGGATTTGTGTGTGAAATGTGTGAATGAAGCAAAGCACAACTCCAGGTCTGTTTGTGATGAGGAAACAACATTATAACTGATCAGAAAATGGTGTACTATGGGCCTTTAAAACTTTGCTATGCAATGGTTTTGTAGAGGGATCGTCATCTTTATTTGCTTGCACTGAGTGAAACAGCAGAATTAAGTAATCAGATACCAAAACTAGAATCGAAACTACTCAATACTCTAATCCAATGAGGTTCATTTGGTGTTTTGAAAATGTATGTTATTGGGTTCTTTTTCAGGCCAAGAGTTTGTTTTCATACCTCATACTTCACGTGACTACTCTGAGGAAGAGTGCTAGTGAACAATCGAAACTGTCAGGCATGAAAACAAACTCTTAGTCTGAAAAAAGAACGCAATAACATAAATACTCGATACTCCTCTGAGCATGTATCAACAGTATCTGTAAACTCCACACATCTTCACTAGAATCATTTGGATAATTTAAGTCTTGGAATTTCCAATCTCTACTGAACTAAAAGTAAAAGGACTTGAATCTTGACTTGAAACTACCACTACATGACATCACAAGGTGGAAAAGAGCATTCTGAGCTTGAGTGATTCAAACATGTGTGAATGGAATGAAACACAACTCCAGGTCCGTTTTTGAGGAGATAACAACATTCTAACATGGCTTAAAGGTGCACAGTGTGACATTAAACAGCTTTACTTTACATTTATTCAATTACAGGTGGTTTTGTAGCTCAAAAATATCTAGAAAAACAGGGATTCTGACTGTGAGTGGGGTCGCCTCTCTACAGATCTGACCCATAACTCGTTTCGGTTTGGTCTCCATGAATATAGAAAGGTTTAATACCATACTTGTGAAACATTCCAGACAAAGCAACAGCATCTCCATGAAAAAAAGCTACACAATGCACCTTCAAAGCTCACAAGAGTCAGTTTTGCGTCCTATAGAACTTTTAACACTTCTAAGTTAGTCACCTCTTTCAAGCCCCCTCATCTTTCATTACATCCTTTTAGCCCCGTTTCCAAGGTCACCAGACTGGGTTCAAAATGGCGTCAGCGTGGAGTTAAACGTTGGGGCGCGGCGTGCAGGGGATAAAAAGCGGCTTTAGCGCCTGGTCAAATAAACAAGTCCGGATTGCTCTAGTGACAGCCGCTGAGTGATTAGCATTGGCGAATAAAAATAGAGCGGCACAGTCAGGAGGATTATGGGAGATGTTTGTGATGTCCGGTTGTGTGAGGTCACCGGGGTAAATGTGGATACGGCATCAGCAGTAGTCACATCGGTATACAGAGCATCGTCAGTCCCGAGCGGGGATGGCGATTATGTTTTCGTCATTGGGCTTTGATAGTTTGTGTTAGAGTCAGCACTAGGCTAAAGCCGCTAAGATAAAAGGTGGCCGGTGGAGGGGTCAAACAAACAGCAATGATAAATACGTGCAGAAAGAAATGGAAAAAGTAAGTGGTTAGGGACTTTCTGTTCAATAATTAATCACCGAATTGTCATAGTAATTGATAATTGTGTCCTTGCTTTCTAAAACTGACCAAAAAGAATTCCACAAAAGATATCCATAAATATTTTTTCAAGGGCCCAAGTCATGCTATTTTCTGATCTAAGTTGTAATGTTTCCTCATCACAAACAGACCTGGAGTTGTGTTTTGTTTCATTCACACGTTTAACTCACAAATCCTGAATATTTAAGCCAAGTTCTTCCCTCACACTGGAAACACTCCACCTTGTGATGTCATGTGGTGATACAGGAAGCAATGGTGGAAGAATTCCTCAATTTTGTTACTTAAATAAAAGTATAGATGCTAGAGCTAGAAAATACTCTAGTAAAAGTGAAGTATTACATGAAAAAAAATCTACTTAAAAGTAATTTAAGAGCATGTTTCAAAATTTACTTAAAGAGTAAAAGTATTTTACACAGATTTTGAGGGTGAACAAAGCTTCAAATGTAGTGATTCTGATAAAGATTTGTGCTGAATTTTGTTCAACATTTGTTTCATAAAACTTTTAATTTGTATATTTGTGTTTGGTCAAATTACAAATATGTTAAAAACCTAATATTAATCCCTCAGCTTTCAGTCTTCAGCAGGTCTCAAAAACTATACAAAAAATGCTTTTACTTTTCACTTAAGTTCAAAAAATGTAGTGAAGTAGAAAATTGAGAGAGATATCAGCTGAAGGATCCACTTTAAAATCGTTCTGAAGTACAGATACCGAAAATATATACAGTGTAGGAAGTGTTCTATTGTGTTTTTAAACTCTGCTCACCTTTGCGGGACTCATGTGGATATTTTCAGCCCTGGAATTGCCAATCTCTATTGAAGTAAGCCTTTTGAGCTTGGTGATGTAGACAGACTAATAATAAAGAGTTACTAAAATGTGTGAATGAAACAAAACACAACTCCAGGCCTGTTTTTGAAGAGGTAACAGTATTATAACATGGTTTAAAGCTCACAAGAGGCAATTTAGCAAAAAAAGGGCGTTTAAAGTTGGCACAAAATTGGAAAACTGTAAGAAAACAGCTGCACGCTACGATCCTCGACAGTAGCTTCTGGGTCATGGTGCAATATCGCAGCTGCGGAAAGGACAAAGTGGGCGGGGCTAAAAGGATAAACGCTTAGTTCTACCGATATCGAAAATCTCACTGTAGTTAGCAGTTTCTCTCCCTCCTCTTTCTCCGTCCGAACGTCCGAGTGAGTGAACGCTGTAATTACCGAAATGAATAAACTGGCGCGGGCCTCTTTCGCTGACTATGTAGAAACTCCGCGGCCCATTCAATTAGGCCCAAACCTGCAGCACTGGCGATTCCCACTGACCTGAATGCAACACTGCAATTACCACAAACGCCTCTCAAGGGAAGTCCATAAAAATGAACTGAAGCTGTAAAAAGGCCTATATATACAGAATGTGTAAAGTGGAGGCAGCAGCACAGGAGCCAAGCACTGAGTCAACAGATAGTAGAATCAGCAGCGGGGGGTAGTAGTAGTGAGTTATGTGTACTTTTTACACGCATTGTGCTACTGTTTACTTAAAGGTGCACTATGTAACCTTATGGTTCAGGGTCTGTCATCTGCTTGTTTCTATGGATAAGTCATTGCTCTGCCTGGAATGTTCCACAGTATGACATTAAACAGATCTAAGTTACATTTATTAAATTTTAGGTGGTTTTATAGCTCAAAGATGCCTAGAAAAACTGGCAGGTTGGCCTCTCCACAGATCTGACGGGTAACTTGGTCTGGTTTGGTCTCCATGAAGAATAGAAAGTTTTAATCCCATACTGTGAAACATTCCAGGCATAGCAATAACATCTCCATGGAGAAAAGCAGGAGATGGACTACCAGAAAAGTTACATAATGCACCTTTAAATTGAGGAATTTTGTGGTCATTTATGAAAAAAAAAAAAAAAAAAAAACAACTAAGAAAACACAATTAAAAAACTGAAAACACAATTACTTAGATCATAATCAACAGTTCTAATTAAGAGCTATTTACGCAAACATTTAGGTAAGTAATTCAAGCCCACTCCAGTTGATGCTGTTGTTGTGTACTTGAGCAAGACATTTCACCTTACTTGCTTGTGTGAATATGATATGTGAGATCAGGTGTATTTGTATTGGTGCACAGACTGTACTGGTAGTGACCATTCAGATGAGAGATGCATTTTAGGTTTAAACCAACTGGCTTTCAGCATTGGAACTTGCAACCCAAATGAGAGACTCATGTGAGGCTCATTCTGCTTTCTCACTGGATAATCAGAATGGTAGTTGTCTTGCTCAAGGACACAACAACAGAATGCACAGGTGAAAACTGTGCTCAAGCAGGCACTGACACAGAGTTCACTTCCTGTACTGGTGCAGCAGCGGCCGAGGTGGGTGCCGTGTCCCATGGGAGCCGGTGTTTCTCTATGGGCTCGGGTTACAGGATCAGAGGAGGGACGGGGGGAGAGAGGGGGAGAGAGGGGAGGCAGCAGCAGGCGACTGACGCCCGCCTATTTCTGCAGACACTATTTAAAGTACTAATTGACAGACTGTGGGAGGAGGAAGGGGGGGCAGGAATTCCTACACATACTTAAATACATATTTTTATATGAATGACAGACATTAAATGTACATTATTATAAGGGTATCAAGGAACTATACTCTTAAATTATACAAACATTTGATAGTCAAATTTGAACTCCAGTTATTACCATGTATCACACAAGGCTGTGCTACATTATTAAAGGATTAAAGTGGAACTAAACACTAAATCCTTTTTTTTTTTAAGAAAATGTAGCACAAACCAGGTAGATTTGAAGTTTTCTGGTCTTTAATGGCCTCTGCAATTTCAAGTACTATGTGACATCACACAGGACAGCCCTGATTACAGCCAGTTGTTTCTGTTTACAAACAACTTGCTGCAGAAGTGGCGCTTGTATACGTGTTAGACCAATCCTGCTGTTCCTTGTTCTGGGAAAAAGCTGCAAACCCTGTAGTTTAAATCTCCATAAATACGTTCTGAAATGTCTGTGTCTGTCAGATGCCCTCCCTGTGCCTCAATGGGGTCTTATTCCATGTAAAAGCTGCTAACTCTGTAGTTTAGACCTCTACAAACATGTTCTGAAATGCATGTGATTCTTGGATTAGTTTATAATTTCAGTCTTCTCTTAAATATTACTGCTTTTGGTTAAGATGTGCACTCTGAACTGAATCTTGAGTTGAGAATCTCCATCATGACAGATATTCAAATAAAACAGTCTGTAGATGCTGACCTGGCTCCCCCTCCACAGTATCCTCACAGCGGGCGTTGAAGTTGTCATAGGAGTCCCAGCGGATCAGAGGGTCCTGGGTGTTGTAGTCCACAGACACACTTGGTCCATTCTCCAGGTGCCCCAACCCTGCACAGAAAAAGAGGAATAAGAAAACAAAGTATAAAAGCAAGAGTTTTCATATAGAAATGCAATGTTGCTAAGCTGTTCAGTCTAATTATTAATGCAATTTTGTTGTCAGTTGAAAGAACTTTTGGGCACAAAATTAGTCAGGCATATTTTATGTTTGTGAACCCAATCCCCAACAAAAACAATATGATTCTACATAAGTGGACATGGAAAAAAAAAAAAAAAAAAAAAAGACATGCGGTGTCCATCTGGAATTCAGTTTTTTATGATTTGTCAGTATCCATGTTCTATCACATGTGTGCAAATGTCAATGTCAATTAGCAATACAGTCATTATAATAAGTATATATTATATTCAATACATGAATAATGATGTATTATAATACTACACGACAAAAGCCATTCTTTTTTTTTTCTTTATGTTTAATACTTTCTTCATTTTATTTACAGGTTGAAGACATTAAATAAGTTAAATAGTTAAATAACTAAAATATATTTTTTCATATTTTTAACAATTCATTTTCTCAAACTATCCACCCTTTGCTTTGTAGATAGTGCTGCAAACCTTCTCTCAGTGAGTTTCATGATGAAGTTTACTGAAACCGGTGTTACTTCACTGCTTGCAAAGCAAAGGGTGTATATTTAAAATTATTTTTAAATCTAAATATTATGAGTTTACTGTTTTGTTTACTGCTTTCGAGACATGTCATTCATAGTTTCGATGTCTTTAATAAAAAATAAAAGAAAAAAATGTGTCAAAAAGTTACACAGTTATGAGTTTACCTTTAATTTTCTCTGGTGCATAAGAGAACACAAACTCCACCTTCCCATACTCTGGAAATCTGTCATCTGTGAAAACATAAAACACAAAAAACATCAACAAACAATTCAAATTTACAGTACAGCATTAGTACCTAATTTAATAATACTACTGGAAATACAGATGTGCCCTGGCCACTAGAGGGCCCCATTTCCTACTGAATGAACCACACTGTTGTAGCAGACATGTCCTGAACTGAAATACATTTTAAAAGGACCTGTTTTGAAATCGTACCTTTAAAAGTCTCATCCAGCTCACTCTTCCCGAACACCACCCCCAGGTCGTGGATGGCACATGTGTGGAACTGCACCCGGAATACCACGTCTCGAGTCGGGTTTCGGAATCTTTTGTGGTAACATTTCAACTGCGGAGGAGAAAGTATTTATGAAAAAGTACTTGGGATTTATTTGTTAGTATTGGTATATTTAGAAAAGATAAGTCGTACCAAGATGTCTCCTTTCAAAAGCAGGCCGGGCTCTATGGTTATGCAGATACTTGTGTTGCTGTCTCCTTGTACATTACTGCAAATGAAATAAAATATATAGTTTAAAATGAGCAATGAACTGTGTTTCTTAAGTAAATGTCAGATACTGGAGCAAAAAATACTCAAATAAAAGTAAAAGTATGTGTAAATCTATTTATGTAAAAGTACTTAAAGAGTAAAAAGTGAAAGTATTTGAGGTCTAATAAAGCATCAAATGTACTGATTTTGTCTTTTTTCCCAGCTGTTTTCCTTTGTATATTTTTGTTTCTGTGTTAAAAATAAATACTCTTCAGATTTTTCAGCAGGGCTCAAACTATAATAAAAAATACTTTTACTTTTCAGTCCTGTTCAAAAATGTAGTGGAGCAGAAAGTACTGATACCTGCTCTTTTTTCCACTTTACAATCTACTTTAGTAAAGTGCAGACACCTAAAACGTATACTTAAGTACAGTTCTACTTTTACTTTGTTACGTTCCACCACTGGTCTGTGAAAAACTAAAATACTAGTCTTGAAAATATGCACCTGAAACTACAGCATGGTGATGTAGGACTATAGTTGGCGCAGATGTTAACCAAGAAAACAAGTTTAGAAGCATCTCTGTCAATTCTGGTAAAAAAAAAATGAATTTAACTAAGCACAGTGTCATTGAGGAGTGAAGAAATGCTTTGTAACATGACTTTTAGACTAAATAAATGCACCTTTAAACTAGTATTCCAGTGGCTGTGACATGCACTTAAAATCAGATTATTAACAGATTTTTGTAATTATAAAGAGTTGTGTTTTGTTTCATTCACATGTTTAACACACAATCCCTGTATTTTTAGGCAGAGCAGGTATGTTTTTGAGTACGTAACAACATTATTACATGACTTAAAGGTAACAAGAGTCAATTTAGCATAATACAGAACCTTTAAAATGACATGTAAAAAGTAAAATCATCTAACTTCTTTCTAATCATGGTCCCTCTGATCACTCACATCCTGATTTTGTGGTTTTCATGTCATTAAAATCATCTTAAAGGTCCAGAAATCAGATGATAATCAGATTTCGGTGTGCATGTGAACATATCCCCAGAAAACTTTGATACCCTCATATACTTTATATTGGTTTGGTAACACTTAGTTTTAGAGGACACCATTAGCTTACACTCACCATAATTAAGTTCTAATTGCCAAACTAATTAGCAGTTAAAGAGATATTAATTAGTGTTAGGTGGTAGAAGTAGGGCACTTTTAAATGCCTTCCTCTTTCTTCATGATGTTATAGACTCTGTCTTAAACTAATGCTAACTTTTATTAAAACATAAAATAAGCAACCAATTAAAATTTAAAGTAAAGACTAACAGATCAGTGGATAAATGATCTTATGAGTTTCTTGCACATTGAGAGGATGAGGTTTACACTTGCAGGTTCAACCACAAAATTTGAAGAAACATGGCAGTCATTTTTGAAATATATGGACACATATAAAAGGGCACCATACCTTAGCATGGTTGTGCGTCTTTTTTTTTTAATCTGTCACAATGTATTTAACTGTCTTTGGGTTATCTGCAGTTTTTTCATTTGTTATTATTGTTATAATATTTTATTTTTTTTTATTTGAGCTTTTATTATTACTTAATTAATGATTATTTGTATTTGTTTTATTATTTAATTATTATCATTAATATATTATTATTATTATTATTATTATTAGTTAGTTAGTAGTAGTAGTAGTAGTAGTAGTAGTAGTAGTAGTAGTAGTAGTAGTAGTAGTAGTAGTAGTAGTAGTAGTAGTAGTAGTAGTAGTAGTAGTAGTAGTATTTGTTGGTGTTACCTTTGGAAAAAAAATTGCAAAAAATATGATGTTTGGTATATATACTTTGTCATTTGCTAAAAAAAAAAAGTGTTTAAAAAAAAGGTGGGTTTGAGGTTTCATTCCAAATTTCTATTATGCTTCAAAATTAGCATTAGCATTGGAACACAAACATTTATCTTTCAAAACACAGAAGCGTCCTCCAGTGAATTGTGTTTTTTACAGCAAAAAACATGTGAATGACATCCACCCACAACTTACTGTCTACTGATTTTTAAGTATTTATTCATTTTAGAGAAACTCGGCAAAAACCCCAGAGACAGAAGCTGACAGGAAGTAGTGGCACTAACAAAAAGCTAGCTGGGCGTCGTTGTGCACAGAGCCAATTCTGAAGCTAATCCCCAATACAACACTATATTCATTTCAAGTTTCTAAAAAGTAGGTCGTGATAAGATATGAAATTCAAATACATACTATATTCCTGACGTGTAGACTGGCTGCATGGCCTGGTAGATCTTGAGGAAGGGACGGCAGCCTGTGAAAGAAGTACAAATATCATACTTGGTAGATAAACTTGAAAGCAGTACTGTAGTTTTCATAGCCATACAGTATAGTGAAAGTACTGACCTCCTTTGGATTCGAAGTTGGGGATGCCGTGCATGATGACGTGGTGGAGGAACAGGGGTTTGTTGTTGATTTTGATGTGTCCGGAGAGAAGGCCGTTGAAGTATCTGACATATCTGCAGAAAACATATAACAGTGATACATTAGAATATTCAAAAATACTATTAGTGGGATTAGGGGAATGAAGACATGTACGGCAGTGGTCCCCCAATCTTTTTTGTGCCACGGACCGGTTTAATGTCCGACAGTATTTCCGCAGACTGGGAGAACTATGCACATGGAAAAAATTGAGGACTGCGGGGGTGGTTTGCATTTTATGTGCGGCCCACCCCGTACCAATGTCAGACAATAGTTTCACGGAAATAAATACAAAAATAACTAAGTGGAAGATTACTCATTTACCCTACATATTATTAGCTACAGCTGCTGTGGGCCTGACTGAAGTGCTGGTCAACTCCTACAGCTCAATTTGTATCTTAAACAAACAAGGTGGATGAAGTGTCTTGCCTGAGGACACAACAGCAGTATGCACTGTTCAGAGCAAGAGTCAGACCTCCAACTTTTAGTGTTCAAAATAATGTCTTCACAAAACTAAAATTTCAATCTTGATTTCAGTACTAAGGAACTCAGTACTCGATACCGATTGCGATACTATGATGATTGCGGCATGGTGGTTGAGTGGCTCTCACGCTTCACAGCAAGAAGGTTCCGGCATTTCTGCGTGGAGTTTGGATGTTCTCTCTTGTCTGGGTGGGTTTCTTCTGGGCACTCCAGTTTCCCCATAAACCCAAAAAACATAGCCAGGCTTGCGCCACCTAGTGCCTCCAGCTCAATTTCATTCCTCTCCAGCGACTAGGCCAGGAATAGGAATACACTAGAAGGTTTGCAAGATCCCTGAAAGTTATAGACTGCGCACCGGCCAATCAGTGAAGAGCTGTGAAGCCACAACAGTAAAGAAAGAGGTCGAGATGGATGTAGACGAAGACAGACATTCTGTGTTGGCAACGATTCCTGAAATTGAGGATTTAAAGCCAGAACAAAGAGAATGTTTGGTGAATTTTATCAAGGGGAAAGATGTTATTGCCCTTCTTCCTACTGGATTTGGTATATTAGATACGTCACGACCAAATAGCAGTGATTGGTTAACTAAAAATCGTACCCCCCTACCATCAAGCGAACAAATTCTAATGCTGTGAGGTCAGACGGTTTCCATGAAGTGAAGCCAACTGATGAATCAGGCTACAAAAACATGCATTAGGTAAAATCCTTTAGCTAAAGTGATCCTGACCAAGCCTAACAACAAGATCATGGAGGTGGGTCCCTGGGCGCTCCATGTGCTGCTCACTGTTCCTGAAAGGATCGGTGAAATGCAGAGGATAATTTCCCTACAGGGATAATAAAGTACTACAAAACAAAACAAACCAAAAAAAAAAAAAAAAAACATTCTCAACATAAATTTTTTTCTTTTCTATTCCCATATGGGCTTATATCTGTGTAATCCCTCAGTGGTCCAGGTAGGTTCCACAGTGCTCCATGTGCTAGTCTATGTGCTCTTATACTTGTTCTGATACAGCTCAACATCATTCTAAAGCTGTTCAGAAAAGGTTCATTTCTGTCCTATGAATGTGACTTTTTTAGTATCGATACCTGCTCAAATGATTATCTAGTTTGTACACAATTTTCAGTATCGAGTAGTATCCGATTTCTGATACTTTTGAAACCCTATCTCAAAACCAGCACTCTGCGCTACCGTCACACTGACCTGCCATGTCTTCTCAAACCTTCACTCGACTCCATACTCCATCATACCTACCCTTTACACCTACGCCTGAGCTAAGTGCTAAGTGATACAGCGGGGCCACCTCCCAGGGCTCCCATAAGCCACTGCGCAACACATTATACCAGGGGCCTGTGTACCGGGGGGCCGGCGCGGGTCCGCTAATCACCATAATAAGGGCCGTACCACCAGCAACCTTGCAGATGATGGGCCCCGTCCGAGATTCAATTAGACTTGCGAGAACTTGGGGCAGACAGGTGGAGCTGGAGGTACACGTCACTGTTAAAGGACATCGCGGTTGACAGCGGGAGTGATGGAGATGACTATTAGAATGGCCATAAGAGGATGTGGTACGGGCCAGTCCACATATCCAACGTATAACTGTCACGGGCCTGGCATATGTGCTTCATGATATGGTTTAATAATCGTCTCATACAGCGTTATGAATTTGTATGATCTCAGTAATCAAATACTAGCTGTTTGGTTTTGATATTTAAAAACGCAATTGAAGATGTTGGAAAATATGTAAAGTTGAACCCAAGAATAATCGCATCTTCACTTTTTATTCCACGTTTAGATGAGTGTTTTCGGGAGGAAATCTGCGTACATACGGTGACGCAAAAGTGTGTGGAATTTGATTGGGCGTGCATGCTAGGCGGCTAATTGGTGACGCTAGGTGGTGATGTATGTGATGTAAACATGTACGCGACGTGAGCAGATCTGACCAGAGTTTTGCTTCTTGGGCAGTGTAGACGGAAAAACTACGGTGGAGCGTATTCAACTTTTCCACTCTGGAGGGTGGTTTCAGATTTTTTGCATTTGTAAACCCCAAAAACGCTGTCAGCATCTAAACGAAAGCAAGACTACCCGCAAGCAGGGTTTGCAGGTTAAACATGTGTGAATGAAACAAAACACAACTCCAGGTATGTTTGTGATTATAACAGAGATGAGAAACAGCGACATACAGGCCCTTTAAGATAATTTCAACCCCAGAAGTAGGTAGAGCAGCCAAAAATTGTACTCAAGTAAGAGTTACGTCTAAGCTACAAGCCATCTTTTAATGTTATCCCATCAAAAACAGACCTGGAGCTGTGTTTTGTTTCAATCACACATGTTTGAGTAACTCTTTATCATTAGTCTGTCAATATTTCCAAAGCTAAAAATGCTCTGTTCAATCTTGTGTCATCTAATGGTAGTTAAATTTTCAAGTATTACCACATGACATCACGAGGTGGAACAAGAACTCAGCCTAAATATGCAGTGTTTTGTGTTAAGTATATGTGGAAAAAAAAACAAAAAAACACAACTCCAGGGACGTTTGTGACAAGGAAACATTATCGCATAGCTCGGAAAATAGCGTATTACGGTCCCTTTAAACGGTAGAATGCAGAACATTTCTCAAGATGAAGCAGATGCTGTGATGATTATTTCATTTATTGACTCAAGACCCGGAACAATGGACGCAGATGTTTGGCCTGTAATTGCTCCTAATGCGCTAGTTTTAGTTTATTCCCCCCATGTTTCTCTAACCTCCTGTCCTTTCTCCTCTTCGGGTCTCTCCAGGTAACACAGCGCGATGTGTGGACCGCTTTACAGTCCCATAACGCACAAAAGCTCCTCACATAGTAAATACATTGTGGCAGATTTATGAGTCCGAACCCCTTCAGTGATCCGCAATCCAAATATAACATTGTTTAAATACTTCCAGAGACTTTGACCAGCGCTGGTTTGGAATGTGCTTCTGACATTAGCTTGAGTTGTGTTGAATCAGGGGGGAGAAAGTTGCGTAATTTTGGTCCAAGAATGCTACGCTATGCTATGCTGTTCCCCGGAGAGCTGGGCCTGGACGCTTTCTCATACAATTAGGGCGATTTAAAGTCAATTAGAGAGAAACCGAGAAGAATGTTCACTAACAAATGTTCTGCAGTTGATGTTTGAGGTTTCTACTGTAGCGGAGAAAATAAAAAAAGGGCCCGTTTTAGAAAGTGTGTAAGTAAAGAACAAATATGCAAACAAGAAGCTTAGAATGAAGTGAAATGTATGGTGCAAACATGATTACATCTATTCAACATACATGTTTTTAATAAATGGTAAAAAATGCAGCGGGAACTTTATACACCATGATCCTTTGCTCTATTATAAAAATAAAAACAGAACAACCTCATTTTATCCTTATGCATTCTGAGCATCGTAATTATTCACCACGCTGAATTTCTAAATGCTTTTCAAAACTTTTACAGTACCAACAACAACTAGCATGCTGACTATGCATTCCTGATTATTGGACAATGAAATGCTGGATGCAGACAGTACACAGTAGTAGAATAGAAGGCCTTTAATATGAGAAATATGATGAGGTTATTGCACTAAATAATTTTGGGTTAGTTTCAGAATCTTGCTAGCTGCATTCCAAATAGGATGGAGAGCATAGGGCGTTTCTGGCTCCATCGATTCTGGGTCCAATTCACTTTACATTGAAAAATTGTCACCCCTATCTCTGTAATTCCTGTTTAGCTGCTGTTAGGCTCCTCATTTTGGTCTTAAAATGTTCATATTAACCCACTTTACACAACCCACTTTGTTTTTATGTAGAGCTGTGTTTTTATTTCACTATTTTGTCTGTAAATATATGTACATTAATAACAGACAAATCGGGCACCTTCTTCAGGTCTGGTTAACAGTGTTGTTAAGCACCCGCTCCTTGATAAGCCATCAGTGTGGGAGAGAAGGGGAGTTACCTTCAACATGTCTGCTCCATATAAACTCTTTGGTTGCTATGATATTACAATCTGCCCCTACAACAGCTAACCTTTGTGAGCTTCATTGACTGGAGATGAACACTATGGGTGATGCCATACTCACTTAGTCCACTTCTTTACACAGTCTGTGACTTAAAGTATTGTTTCCCAAAGATGAGGTCGTGACCCTCAGGTGGGTCACAAGAGATTTTTGGGGGGTCACCTTGTCACTATCTGCAAGTAGGTCTGCAATATACAGTTCTACAGACTATTTTGTTCCAATATTGCTGGTTAATGTCCAAATAGGCAACATATGGATCTTTTTATTGCTGCTTCAATTACTGTTTTTCCTTGTTTAAAACTTGAGTGAAACAAATTGATCAGAGACATGATCACTTAGTCAACAATAAAATATCCTCATCAGTGTTCAATAATGGTCAAATCCACCTTTATTTTGTGATTTACGAATGATGTCTATTGACTTGGGTACAAAGATTTGTAACTTTTAAAATATGGGTCCCCAGAAAAAAACGTTTGGGAAACACTGATCTAAAGTACCTTATTTAACTATATGTTTCGGAGCTTATATGACCAACTATGAACATTTGGCGAGGTATACCATTGTAATACAATAGGCCTGACATTTATTCCTTATGGGTAAGTGAAATAAGAAGTCTGGTGAAACTTAGAACCAGAAGACTCCATAGTTGGTTTAGGTGATTCTTCTACTCACCTTATTTGTGACGGTTGCCCCACCGGAAGTGCCTTGTCCTCATAGAAGCGTCTCATGGCGAACCTGTCCAAAGCCTGGTCTGCGCTAAAAGATAAAAAACAGAAAAAAAGTTAGAAAACTCAACCAACATAATATGGAGTGGAAAATGGCCTCCTCAAAGTGAGAGATTTACTGAGATCCCCATAGGCTCCATCACTTATCCTCCTGGCTCAGTCACATCTGCTAGCCCTAAAAACATGTCTATTTGAAGGGGAGAAGAAGAAGACGGCGTTTGGTGTGGGGCCCGGGCAGCGACATCGGGTTTGAATCTGGCAGGTTGGAGGCGTGTAATGGGGAGAAGTGTGAGGGTCGGTTACCTTGCGGAGATGTTGCTGTAGTGCATGTAAGCGGCCACCACCACTCCTGTGCGCCCTCTATTCCCCTGTTACACACAAAAACATACAAAACACACTGTAAAATTACGATGTTACCATGGAGATGTTATTGCGTTGTATGGAGTGTTTCACAATACAGTTTTATCTTCATGGAGACCAAACCAGACCAAGATAAAGGTCAGAAGCCATGTTTTTCTAGGTATTTTTGAGATATAAATCCACCTGTAATTTAGTAAATGTAACGTAGAGCTGTTTAATGTCATACTGTGGAACATTCCAGGCAAAGCAATGACACGTCCGCAGAAACAAGCAGGTATGGTATTACGGTTAACTACAAACAAAACAAAGTGGAAAAATGTGATGTGTATATTGTAAACATAAGCAAAATACAATTACAGTACAAAGAATAAGCAACATTTGGATCTACCAGAAGAAAAAAACTAACAAAAACAAACTGTACCACAAAAATTTTACTAAATCATTTTTTGTTTTTTGTTTTCTTTTTTGCAAATCTGGCTTTTGTATTCAAACTATGAAAAACATATTATTTAACAGTTGACCTTGTTTTATATTTTTATTATTATTTTATAGAGAAAAGACATGAAAAAAAATATCAAAAAGCTAATGAAAAAGTATGAATGGAATTTCAAATATGTTATTGCCCATTACAATAGAAAAATAAGTCCAAAAACTACAGACAACAAAGAAATGAAAAAATTTAAATAAAAAGCTTGCAAACTTCAAACAGATAAATAAAAATATATCAACAGTAATAATATGAAATCATACTAAAAATAAAAAGGTTGCAAATTTAAATAAAAACACATAAATGAATGCAAAAAAACCCTCACCCTTGTGTAACAGATAATACTCCCTTCAACTGTACATCAACTCACCATTATGGAACACATAATACGCCCTACAACTGTACAACAACTCACTCTCATGTAACAGATAACACTCCCTACAACTGTACAACTCATTCTCAAGTAACAGATAATACTCCCTACAACTGTACAACTCATTCTCAAGTAAGAGATAATAATCCCTACAACTGTACAACTCTCACCCTTATAGAACAGATAATACTCCCTACAACTGTACAAACACTCAACCTTATGGAACAGATAATACTCCCTACAACTGTACAATAACTCACGCTTATGTAACAGATAATATTGTTTTAAATGTTTTTCACCTTGTTATGCAGGACCACCACGTTGTGCGGGTCTCCGTTGAGCCACGTGTCTATGGCCTTACACATGCTGCAGATCTTGTCCAGGGCTGGTGCGTGGTGGTCTGGCCAGCCGAACTCCAGAACCTGCAAAACATCAGGCAGGGAGTCAAATATTTAGACTTTTTACAAGGATCAGACGGTAGATACAGAATGGTTGTAAACATATGAAACGTGCGAGTGAGTACCTTGTGATTCAACTTTATCAGGTCGTTTCTTCGCTCACTGAGATTGAGTACCTGCAATAAGGGAAAAAATACACAATATACATTTGAAATTATTGTGAACTAAACATATATTGTGCTAAAGGCCTACTGCAAAACATTTCAGCCTTAAAAAGCTAGCATTTGAACTGTTTTAATACATGTAATAATGAAGAAAAGCTTTTATTGAGACTAATTACTGGCCCAAAATGTTACACAATGTGGCTTTAAGGGCGCTGTACCTGATATTTACTGTCTTAAAACTTAATACATAAATATTTAATAAGTTGTGCTGTAATCACACATTTAACACACAAACACTGCATATTTAGGCTGAGTTCTTATCTCAAACTTAAAACACTCTGTATCAACTTGTTATGCCATGCAGTAATACAAAAAGAGCTCCACTGTGTTTTTAAACGCAATACACCTTCACTAGAATCATTTGGATAATTTCAGACCTGGAATTACCAGTCTCTGCTAAATCTAATGCTAAAACTGTTAACTTAAACATCACAAGGTGGAACAGAATATTTACAGCTTTGGAGCTGTAGACAGACTAATAATAAAGGGTTACTGAAATGTGTAAGAATGAAACAAAACACAACTCCAGGTCTGTTTTTGATGAGGTAACATTATAACAAGAGACAATTTTGTGTAACATGGGACTTTTAAAGGTCCTCAAATGTATGTAGACTTAGCCACTGGTTGTGTGTGCGTACCAGGTAGTGCTCCCCGTGTTTGGACCTCAGCATGCTGGCCACCTCCTTCAGATGGTTGGTGTAGGAGCGCTCTTCTGCCGAGGTGGGGAAGGACAGAGAGATGATCCTCTCCGTGATGTAGACCAAGTCCACCTCATAGTGCTCCTCCATGGCTGGCACCACGCTCTGACTCCTGCGGTACGAAAACAAACAAAAACACATACAGGTAGGTAAAACATACAAGTAGGTATTTTCTAGCTATAAATCCACCTGTAAATGAATGAATGTGAGATAGACCTATTTCATTCCAGGTAGGACAATGACATAGAAACAAGCAGCTGACGGACTCTCCACCAGAAAAGTTACAAAACGCACCTTTAAGTCATGTTAGAATGAAAGACCTATTGTGCTTGTGTCTGTTATGTAGCTATAATCACTATAATGACACCCATGGATCATTATGTTACAATTTAGATATTTTAAATCACAATATTCATTTAAAACAACTTACTAAAAGAAACAATCAGCTGATCTCCACATTAGAAAACTTCAGTGCACAATGGGATCTGCTGTCAGCGCAAACGTCATCACAACAAAGGGTTAATACCTACTATAGATAGCTGTATATCACACTAGCATGCAGCTGATTCTTTTTTCATTTGTACCAAAGTTACTATTTAGAATAAGAAAATAAAACTAGAGAACTAAGTAAGTACTAGGGGTGGGCATGAGAATTTCGTTGATTACCTTCATTTTTAATCAACAAACTGGATGTAGGTTGCTGTGCTTAGTGTAGCGTGAGTCCGACAAAAGTTGACCACATTGGTGCACAAGAGCTTAGTTTTTGCTTATTTTATGCAAATTGGCCATGCGGTTTTAAGTTTCGTTTCTGTAAAACCTGTCAACCTGTAAAAAAAGCTGCATTAAACACTTTATAATCTCAAACAGGCTGATGTGGCTCTAGAGTGGTTATGGTTTATACGTTGTAAAGTAGTGGGGCGCCAGTGACAAACACTGTTGTCGTGTCTTTAGGCAAGACACTTCACCCACTTTGCCTAGTATGAAAGTGGTGTGTGCGTGAGTGTTGGTGGTGGTCCGAGGGGCCGATTGACAGCCTTGCTTCTGTCAGTCTTCCCCAGGGCAGCTGTGGTAATAATAATAATAGTAATAGTAATGGTAGTAATAATAATGATGATAATTTTAATATCAAAACGTCAATGGTTAATTGAAAATTGATCGTTAATTCTCCCCATGATCGATTAAGTAAATTTAACTGAATGCCCATCCCTAGTAAGTACAGAGCAGTGGGCACTTGCTGATGCTGATGGGGGATTGATTGGCAATATGGAGTTTTTAAAATAAGTGATTAAAGATTACTTAAACATGCATATACACAACTTTGGGTGAGTACATGGTGAGAGGAAACAACTATAATATAATTAAAAGCTCTAAAAAGTCGAGTTTGTCTTATTAGCTGCTGTAAATTGCTTGCAGTGGGGGAAGCTTACGCCCCCTACTGAAGTGTGTGTTAAGGTGTATGCCCCCTCGTCACTATTTACAGCAAAATTATATGAGCAGCCTACAAGACACGTCACTTCACCATCACGTAACGCTTCTACAAGATACAGACGCAGCCAAAACACGTGAAGCAGGTAAACAAAACAAAACAAAAAAAAAAAATGTTGCTGAATCTAAAATAGTCATGGATCAATATACAGAGAAAAAAAAAGAATTTTTTTTTTGGTCATATCGCCCAACTCTTCGCACAAACATTGCTATCGTGTCCAGAGACAGAAGGACCATCACACCTCACACATGAACACCGTAAAACTCTCCACACACAGTACGATTATTGATGACACACATTTGCGTCTGCCTCCTTGTCCTCCTCTGACCCAACTGTGCGTGTGCTTCCTGACTCTGGCTGCTTGAGTAGTTGCAGCCCGTTGTGCGACCTCTCTCGGGGAGTTCGTCAAACATGCACTTGATCGAATGTAAACTCCTCCGGTCGGCTCTTATATTTCTTGGACACGGAAAGATTCACAATCCTTTACAGTGTTGACACGACCTCCTCTTGAGTTACGCAACGCTCTGCACAGTGCGCCAAGTGGAATCAGTAATATAGTCCAAACGCAATGGAAAAACAGGCATTCAAAAAAGTACGCGATTCTTCAAAACCACTTTTTCATGTTAAAAAGGGGGTATTACACTTCTATAGGGTACTTGCTGCTAACACATAACATATTTAAATCACCATGTTACCTTTTATTGTTTGGACACCACATCGCAATTAAAGTTCATCCTGCACATTGCCTTGTGGGTGCAGGGATGATGTAGGTTTTGAATAGGGTCCGTTAGAGATTGCAAAATTATTCAAACACAGATGGATGACATCTAAAACCTCTTCAGACATGTTTTTGATGAGGGAACAACTGTTATAATATGGTAAAAAGTTCCAAGATATCAATTTTGTATAAGTTACTACACCTAGGACTGTCACGATAACTGCAATATTGCAATACCGTGGTATGATCAATCATGCCGCACAAGCGCACAAGTAACCACGGTAACAGGAATTTTTTTCCTCATAACTCAACTGTAAAACTACATGCAGTAAACACAAATGTCTGTTTCTGACACCTGCACGTGTCTGTGTATTGCTCTGGCCTGGCTGTGGTTTTATATCAGTGTTTTTCAAGTACAACCCCAATGTACATGTGTTATTATAGGCGTCTGTGCAGCACATGCACTACTCTTAACTCTTGACTTTGAAGTTCAATGAACTGTTTGAAATGAACTGTCTGTATAGTGAGTATACAGTGAGTGTGTTGTATGTATAGTGAGTGTGCTGGTTGTGTGATTGTTGCTGTACTTTTCCCTGTCCTGTAGATGATTTCACATCAACCTGCCAAGGGACTGAAGATGGAAATGAGCCACGCTGGCCATAATCTTTACATATTTTAAATGTTCATTAATATGTGCTGTCCCTTTACAAAATAAATAAGAAGAAAAACTACACATTGCAGTCCTGAGGCACGCAAAGTTACTGCAAGACATGATTTAACAGTGACAGCCCTGACTCCACCTTCAATTATTACATTAAAGATTTACTAATAATTGTTTCTCTAGTTCAACAAGTTCATAAGGTTATTATTTTACTTCTGCGTTGGACATGGGCAGCACACGTGACATACAGTATGTAGATATAGTCCCGGTTCTGTTACCTAGCAACCATACTGTTAACAAGGGCCAATGCTCGTCTAATTCACGTAACAGTGATTATCTGGATGAAATTTTCTATGGACAGAAAATGTATTCCATTTTAGAACACTTCTTGTGTTTTTGTACTTTTCTTTGCAACTTTTTCCACAAACTGACACTTGACTGATGTAAAACTATAATAAATACTGATCACAAGTACTATCCAACCAAACTCAGTCATACTTAGAAAAACATGAAAACCTGTCATAAGGACTTCAGTGTTGGAGTAGATTTGGAGTTTGGAATGGTCTAGCAAAGTGTATTGTTTTTCACAGTATAATTGATCAGCGGTGTTGACAGTGCACGTTGACTCACCGGGACTGCTTGCGTCTTATCTCCACACTCTTGCAGGATCTCTGAGAACCCTGGAAAAAACAAGAAGGTCAAGGTTAGGAGGGTTTGTAAAGAAAATGAAATACTTTTGAATAACTTTTTGGATAGCGAGGAAAGAAAACAGGTTTGGAGATAAAGGCTTCCAGAAATGGTTGGAAAAAGATGTGCACAGGGATAGTTTGATCAGTAAAATCTGGAACAATTTTTCTAAATTTCAAGGTAAAATAATTATAAAGTGTTTTTTTCTACATAGTGAACCTCGCTCAAATGAAGCTTCGGATGCTAGTGGTTGCACCGGCAAATTTGGAACCAGGCTTTATATTATAAGTAGGATTTTTTAAATGAACAAAATGGCAAAATAAAACACCAGAATCACAATTTCAGAAAGGTCGTATTTTGTAGGAATTCTCTCTGATTGCTGATTTCTGATGTTGTACGTTTGGCAGCGTAAGACCAGTATTGAGGAAGTAATGAGTAAGTGAGTTTAGGTGCGAATACATGCCATTGAAAACAACATAGTGCCGTCTTGGATTCATTTTCTAGATCTTAGTTTAATTCCATGAGTCTATGGCTGAAACTGAAAAACTGAAACTGAGAATTTTTTTTGTAAATAAAATAGAACTAGCCAGGCTGGCGCCATCTAGTGCCTCCACTCAACTTCATTTCTCTCCAGCGACTAGGTCAGGAATCAGTATACAATACAAACGGTTCGCAAAAACCACGGAAATGCAAGGTCGGGCACCAGCCAATCAGCGAAGAGCCACATATTCTGTGTTGTCAACAATTCCTGAGATCGAGGATTTAAAGCCGGAACAGAGAGAATGTTTAGCGAATTTCATCAAGGGGAAAAACATTATTGCCCTTCTTCCTACGGGTTTTGGGAAAAGTTTAATATACCAGTTAGCCCCGTTAGCGGCGCATTACATACATCACGCTCAAATAGCAGCGATTGGTTAAATGATAAAAACTGTCGAGCAAAGGAAGTCTAACAGTGCGAGGTGAGACGGTTTCTACAAAGTGAAACCGTCTGATGAATCAGGCTAAAATAGAACTGTCCAATCTGTAGAACTGTATCACCTGCTCACTGCTTTTAACCTGATCAGACGACAATTTCAAAAGTATAAAGAGTTTGTGTTTTTGTATACGTTTATATTTCTATTCTATATTAGTGTTCTTATGATACTGGCATTTTAAATTGATTTTTAAACTAAAGAATAGACTCGATACTCAGTACTGATTTCCGATACCACAATGATAATAAAAAACACTTTTAATTTTGACAATAGAACGTGATTTACAACTTTAAATCATATTTTCTTTTATATCTGTGTATATCTCTATAATCCTTCAGTTGTCCAGGTAAGTTCCATACTCATTTGGATGATTTCAGTCCTGGAATTGCCCTTCTAAAAGCTAAAAGGTAGCTGTTAACATGGAAACTACCCTTTCATGACATCACAAGGTGGAACAATAAAGAGGATTTTGAAATTTGGAGATGAAGACAGACTAATAATGCAGGATTACTCAAACATGTGTGAATGAAACTAAACACAACTCCAAGTCTGTTTTTGAGGAGATAACAACATTATAACACGTCTTAAAGCTCACAAGAGTCAATTTAACGTAATATGGGACCCTTCAGAAACATCAGAACAGGTGTACCTAATAATATGTCCAGTTGAGGCACACTCGCTGTACATACAAAGTGGTGCTGTCAGGCGTGGAGTCTAATTGTGTTACAAGGTTAAACAGTAACAAACAGACGAAGCTAATCCCATCGCCCTGAGCCAGACTTGGAAGCAGAGGAGTGTGTGATCTGACAGGAACCAGATGCTCGTGGACTGCAGACAGGGCCCAAGGGTGCTGCGCTGCTACGGCTCACACCACACGTTAGCCCCGCACTAGCAACATGGCTTTGTGGAGACATCGAGAAAGTCAACTCTAAGTAAAGTTAAATTAGGTAACAATACTAGTGTTAAAGGTCTTGTATTACACAAAATGGATTCCTGTGAGCTTTAAGGCATGTTAGAATGTTGTTACGTCTTCAAAAATATACCTTGAGTTGTGTTTTGTTTCATTCGCATGTGCTCAAAATGCTCTGTTCCACCTTGTGATGTCATAAAGTGGTAGTATTCAAGTTAACAGCTACCTTTTATCGTTGGTCCTGAAGAGATTGGCAATTTAAGGGCTGAAATTATCCAAATGATTCTATGTTACGTTTATATGATGAATATATGACGCTCTGAACAGAAGACGCAAAAGTGGTATCGCGTCTTCACTTTTTATTCCGCGTTTAGACGAGTGTTTTCGGAAAACTGCGTGCATACGGTGACGCAAAAGTGTGTGGAATTCGATTGGGTGTGTCAGGCAGCTAGGTGGTGACGCTAGGTGGTGATGTGTGTGACATAAATGCGTACGCGACGTGAGCAGGTCTGACCAGAGTTTGCGTCTTGGGCAGTGTAGACGGAAACTGTACGGTGAAGCGTATTCAACTTTTCCACTCTGCAGGGTGGTTTCTGATTTTTGCGTTTTGAAGCCCCAAAAACACCGAAAGGCACTTCTGATAAAATATTTTGTTGTTTTTACCTGCAAGAGTTCTCGTGTAAACAGGCCCCTTGTAAAGGTGTATGGAGTTTAAAAACACAGTGGAGCACTTCCTGTATTACCACATGACAACACAAGGTGGAACAGAGTGTTTTCTGTTTGAGAGAAGAACTGTGTTAAACTTCTGTGAATGAAACGAAACACAACTCCAGGTACTGTATGTTTTTAATGAGGAAACAAGTCAGAAAATAGTGCAGTAACTAATAATGGCTAATTAATTGATACTATGTCAACAACACTCCCTGGAGGTGTGATGCTAACTGTAGGCTCTGCTCTGCCTGAAGCTCTGTTCATCAAATTAGACTTTAATCTGAGTTTTTTTTTTTTTTTTTTAACACAATCTGACCAGAAATAATGGACTAAGATGGAGCTACAACACGTGAGCTGATGTGTGCCGTTAAATAAATCTGACATGAAAAAAACATTACCATCACCAGCTAGCTAGCATTAGCCAACAGTTTTTCACTTAGTCACTCTCACTTTTTTTGTTGTACATCCAACTCCTAAACAGGACCATGAATTCAACCATATTGATCACAGGTTCCTGAAAATGTGTTGCTTAAATCTGTTTTGTAGTTTTCTTGTGTTTTCAAACCATCTTAAAACTTTTGGTCAGTGTTTGCTAATGAGTGCATTGTGTCACCATGGTAACTTCTAAACATTCTGACAACACATACATGTAGAAGACCCCCAGTGTTCCAGTGTTATGCCTCTGTAAAGTATCAATAGTAAAAGGTAGGGATGTAACAATATCCAAATCTCTTGGTACGATTTTATCACTATATGCATCGCATGGTACGATATTTATTGCGATATTTTGGAGACGAAAATATAATTGTACATGGGGCACTTTTTGCTTTTAAAATACCTTGACAAGATTTTGGTGTGAATTATTTCCATCATAACCCCAAAAATTCAATAAAAAAAACATATTTCTTCATGTTGTCTGCGCTAAAGTGAATCATGGGATATGTAGTTTCCGATGTTCATAAGCTGTTGCTGCTATAAAACCATGCATTTAAGCAAAGGAACTTATAATTTGATATTGTGACAGCCCACAATATTATTGTGAGACTTTTGACGATACAATATCAGATCAGTGCATTCCTACTTCTAACCATTGTTTAAAGGTGCATTGTGTAACTTTTCTGGTGGAGGGTCCATCAAATGCTTTTCTTCATGTTATTGCTTTGTCTGGAATGTTTCACGGTATGGCATTAAACCTTTCTATCTTCATGGAGACCCAACCAGACCAAGTTACAGGTCAGATCTGTGGAGAGACGATCTCACTCACAGTCAATGTACCTGTTTTTCTGGGTATTTTTGCGCTATAAAACCACCTGTAGTTCAATAAATGTAAAGTAGAGCTGTTTAATGTCATACTGTGGAACATTCCAGAGCAATGACATATCCATAGAAACAAGTAGGTGACCTCCAAACAAAAAGTTAAATAATGCATCTTTACATAAATACTGAACTTGCAATTTCTCTTAAATAAAAATGATATATCACAACAGACTTCCAAGTATGGCCTACCTTACTGGCCACGCTCATGCTCCCTGTGCTCCACCTCAGACTGGCAAAACGTTTCCGAATGACACCCACCAAGGTCATGATCCCTCTACCTATCCGTAAACCAGTATCCCGTACCAAAAACTCAAATTATCTAACAAAATCGACATTTTTGCAGTTATAAATTTTTAAAAACCGAGCTCTGCAGGCTGCTCTGTTCCATCTGGCGTCTCTACATGCTTTCTGTATCAGCCCTGCCCACTTATTTTGTACTCTCCTCCTCCCTTCCACATCCATTATCTCTCAATAATCCTTTAATATTCCTCACAATTTGATAAATGATCGAAATAATAATTAAACCACACCTTGCCTTAAATTAATCCTGAGTTATAATCTCAAATAAGCCTTATGGTAAACATATTTTGATGCAGACGTACCTAAACTCCCTTTAAACTTCAGCTAATAGTACTTAAGAGAGCTCTCAAACCCTAACTTGTCACTGTCAAATTGTTTATGCTAGCTTTCGGTAATTACGTACAGTTAAAGACGAGCGATTAGAAGTCTCCATCTTGGTATTTTTAGTGTTTCTCAGCATTACGCCCACATTTCCCATCAGCCCCAAACCCAAAGCGTGACCCCGAACTATGAATCATCGTTTACAGTAGCATCTCTCATTATGAATCCGCAGATATGTTACAATTATTATATAAGTGGAGTGGATTTGTGGGAAAAGCTGTGAGAAATGTCGCATATGCATTTACAATTTATACTATTTTAATATTTTTGCTGTTTTCTATTGTCTTTGTGCTTTGTGCGATGTTAGAATGTTGTTCCTTTATCAAAACATACCTGGAGTTGTGTTTTGTTTCATATATGCACGTTTAAGTCCTGTTTAAAGTGGAGCTACACCTGAACT